GTTCAATTAATTCCCAGTGGCAAAAAATCAAGCAGTGGCCTAGATTCATCTGCATTGATTATTCTTTTTCACATGGAAATATGAAAGTTCAAATAAGACAAATTTCTGCAACTTATAAGTGGGAGTGCAATCATGCGTTGTATGAGTAATAAGAATTCAAGACAAAATCAGGTTTATCTTAGCACTACAGAAAATTCGGCTAAATGTTTTTTCATAGTATTGTAACGAACCAAAGAAGCCAGGAAGCATTTAACAGTTTAACTCGTCATTTTAATCAACTTTTGCACGTTCAGACAGAGTAATCATTGTGTTCGCTCGAAAACCCACACTGTTACACACACACAATTAACATACCTGTTCCATCCAATGGGAAAACCCCTTCCTCCCTCTCGAGTGCGCAGACTCGCTTTTTCCCCAAAATCTAATTCCTTACAACCCCGCATTGCGAATACAAATTCACACCAAAAAGAACACAGAAACCTTTAGTAACATGCTACTTAAACCTTTGTCTTAAACCTTTAGTAACATGCTACCCCTGCTGAAAAATCCAGCTTAAACCAGCCTAGGCTGGCTGGCTGGTTTTAGCTGGTCAACCAGGCTGGTTTTAGAGGGATTTTGGCCACTTCCAGGCTGGTTTCCAGCCATTTCCAGCCTGGGCTTAGCTGGTCAAGCTGGGACTCCAGCCAAAACCAGCTATATCCAGCTTAAACCAGGCTGGTCAAGCTGGTTTTAGCTGGATTTGGCTGGTCATTTTCCAGCCTGACCAGCTAAGACCAGGCTGGAAATGCTGGAAACCAGCCTGAAAATAGCCAAATCCCCTCTAAAACCAGGCTGGTCAACCAGCTAAAACCAGCCAACCAGCCTAGGCTAGTTTAAGCTGGATTTTTCAGCAGAGACAGTATAATAAACAAGCAATTTGCATGGCACATAATAATTAAACATGTTCACTTGGCTACTATGCCTAGGTAGAATACAATTCTTTGCCAAATTGGGGGTTTGACCCAATTTTCGGGCTCAAATATGGACAAACCCAAATGTGTCACCCTCGGCCTGTTCCTGTTGTCCAAACCACCGCTCTCCCTCACCATCCACTACACACCACACACCTGAACCTTCCCCTGATTACTGATCACCTGCACCTGTAATCACCACTCACTACAAATACTCACCTCACTCAGTCAGTGGCTGGAATCAAAGATGCAAGGTGCCCTTCGTCATCTCTGTTGGATTCTCCTGTACTCCTCCGTGGATGTTCCCCTTCTCCTTCTTCTGCGAAATGCAGTTCCATTGATTTAAGGGAAGTCACAATTTTTATATTGGTGTTTAACCAAAGCACTGAGCTTATCTATTGAACTGTTTGTGTGTGAGATCGCTCACCCTCTACAACGCCATTCCCCTGCTTCTCCTACTGTTGTTATTTACTGTTATACGTTTGAATAAACGTTCTTGAAGTTTTACCTTCCTTATCTTCCATGTTTGGCCATGACAAATTGTTATTTTTAGGGACTGAGCACCGGAACAGTTTCTTGTTCTTTTTCTTCGTAATGAATCGTGGTTTTGAGGGGCTAAACATGCCCGAAAACTCACAAAACTTTGCAAGGTCCCTATCATCGCTGCCTGCAGCTTTAATCTTTATTTTATAATGCACTTAGATGTAAAAATGTAACTTAGCAGTTGAGTACGTTCATATTTGGTCCAAATTTGGGGAAAAAAAACAACCAAATTTTTGTTGTTTGTTTTGTAATTTCAGCTAATTAATTTTGAATAAAAGTTAGTGCTGCGTTCATATGAAACACAAGTTAAATTTAATCTTGTTAAACATTGTTAACTGACACTAGTTAACTGCACCCCATAATACAAAGTCTATGTATTATGATACTAAGGCCAAACTTTATGCATTTTGGACAATGCATTGGTAGTTATACAAGAACGCCATTTTGGGGGCCTAAAAATGTAACTAACTTACAAGTGAGACCATTTAAAAATGACTTTGTGGAAACAGTAAGGTCATAAACAAATATATATTATGTATTAAGTCTATATGCATTAGTATGCGCTTGAAAAAGCAACAAAAAAAGTATTCAGTAGTGGTTGACCAATGTATCAGTTTTGCTGATTAATCGGCACCAATAGTTGATTCCTGGAACTTTCATTATCGACAAAAATCCCTAGCAACAGCTTTTCCAGCTTGTGTCTGTTACTTGAATGACTGAGAAGGGTCTGTTATTAATATACAGAGCAAAAGTTACCTCTAGAGGCAAAAATTAGAGATCGGTTTTTAATCGGTTATTAGGAAGTACAGTCCAACCTGTCATATTGGAAAAATCGAATATCAGTCAACCTCTAGTATGCAGGAGCGTAGTGCTAGTTTACATGTATGAGTTTGGCTGAAACTTTTAAGGAAAGCCACTGGCATTGACTAATGATCAGTTTTGCAGATGTGTCGGCACCGATAGTTGATTCCCAGAACTAACGGTCATTGCCGGAAAAAAGACAGACCTCTAAAGTGGAAAATCACTAGTTGATAATCAGTACTATGGTCTAACCTACCTATAATTTTGGCAAAATCCAATTTGTCAACCTCTAGTATGCCGGAGCATAGTGTTCATTTACATGGATGAGTTTGGCTGACACGTTTAAGTATCAGTTTTGCAGATAAACAACACCAATAGTTGATTCTCGGAACTATGGTTTGTCAGCACAAATCCCTACTGATAGATTTTCGAGGTTGTGTCTGTTACTGGAGTGGCTGAAAAAGGTCTATTGTCATTATACTGTGCAAGACCGACCTCCACAGGGCGAAATCAATGATTGGTTAATTAATCAGTTATCCAATCAACCTCTAGTATGACCTCTAGTATGCAGGAGCATATTGCTAGTTTAAATAAATTATTTTAACTGACACTTTTAAGTAAAAGCCACTTGCATTGACTGATGTATCAGTTTTGCAGATGTATCGGCACCGATAGTTGATTGCCAGAACTATTGGTTATCAGCAAAAAGCTCTACCGATAGTTTTTCTTGGTTGTGTCTGTTACTGGAGTGGCTGAGAAGGGTCTGTTGTCATTATGCAGTGCAAAAGTAACCTCTAGAGGAAAAAAATCAATGATCAACTATTGGTTAATTAATCAGTTATCAGCAGTATGGTCCAACCTACCTATGATATCAGCAAAATCCAGTTTGTCAACCGCTAGAATGCAGAAGCATAGTGTTTACATGTATGATTTTGGCTGACACTTTTAAAGGAAGCCACTTAAATTCACCCATTTATCCATTTTGCAGATGTATCGGCACCGATAGTTGATTTCCCAGAACTATAGTTTGTCTGCAAAAATCCCTATCGATTGCTTTTCTTAAACTATCGTTTTTTGTGAAAAATTCTTGATTGTGTCTATTACTGGAGTGGTTGAGAAGGGGCTGTTGTCATTATACAGTGCAAGACCGACCTCTAGAGGTGAAAACCAATGATCAACTATTGGTTAATTAATCACTTATCAGCAGTATGGTCCAACCTGCCTATCATATCAGCAAAATCCAACTTGTCAACCTCTAGTGTGCAGGAGCATAAAGCATAGCCTCTCTCCCGTCTCCCCCGATGGCCCACACTCACACTACAATCGGGCCTGGGCACGCTTACGTCATCGATGCTGCGCTGTCCTCAGTGAGCGCTCTCGCTCAGCACAGTGGAGATTTCTCTAGTTATATCGTTTCAGTCGTTTGATATGCAGTGACATGCAGTCAAATATTTCACCAAACAGTCCTTAGGGATGCGGTGACACGCAGTCAGATATTTCACCGAACAAATCCACCACTTTTGACGCTCATAAACAATCATAAAGTCCTCGTGCCGCAGGAATGGGGAGGTTTGCTGAAGGTGTGCAGCTGTCATGCAGTGAGAGGTTTGTGTATTTAATAAACTACGGCAGCTTGTGTTCATTGAACAGTAAGAATGATTAATAAATCCATATGAAACAGTCCCTTAAAAGTCACGTCTCGCTTTCAGTTTTGGGCTTTGGCGCGTTTTGCACTCACATTACAAGCGTACTGCGCCAAAGCCCAAGTGAACCGCGCTCAGGCCCACCTCTTCCAACCGGGCCAGGGCCGGCCAAGTGAACCGTGCTTGAGCCCGATTCAGCGCTCTTACACTTCTCAAACGTTCCGGGAAATGGGCCTGGGCACGGTAGGGATGGCATAGTGTGAGTAGGCCCTAAAGAAAGCCACTTGCACTGCATTGACGACTCGTCTTTTATCAGGAGTCAAACCCACAACCTTGGCACTGTTAGTCTATCAGAGCTGCAGTAAGACTCTTCCTTTCCAGGTCAATAATTGCCAGTGTATTTAGTCGTTTTTAGTCATCATTTTGACTTGCTGTAACCATTGACTTTCGTAGTATTTGTTTCTCCTACTATGGAAGTCGATGCTTGCAGGTTTTCAGATTTCAGAGTAAATAGGGTGCATTTTAAGTTTTGCCTGAACTATCCCTTCAAAAATTACACTGTAAAAAGGAACCACGAAAAACAAAGTAGGTTTGAAAACCAATAATTATGCTGATAAACAGTGGAGTCGGAAAATCCACCTTCAGGATTCTTGGGAACAATCAGAAAACACTACTAATCGGATTAATTACAAAGACATTTTCACACTAATGTAGTTCAGAGCTAAAAAGCTTCTGCAATGTCTTTTGTTGTGTGTGCAATAGTGCAAACACGATTTTTGCTTGTCTTCACAAACCGAGGAACAACATGAAAATGATGTCTGTGCGAATTCACCTCCACACACTGTACACCACTGATGCGGTCGATACGGCTCCAGAATAGATCTGTATATATGCAAATATGCTCGTTTGCTAAAATCAAAGCGAGTGGATTCTTACTTAACAGTTTAAAGGCTCGCACTGGTTTTGTGCAATGTTTGTCAGTAATTAAAATACTCATTATTCCCAATGAATCCTGCCGCGGTCAGGGAGAAGGAACAAAAAAAAAAATTAAATATCACAAGCCTCAGGAGGAATGATTAGTTTATTAATAACAGCTCTAGTCAGCGGGAACGTACATTCTTTACAGTGTGCAATATTTCTCTGGCGCTCTCCCGCAGTGTTTAATGCTGACGGCTTGTCATGCTATACGGTCCAGCGACCCGATGGAGTAAAAGCCATTCCATCGAGGAACAGGGGTGGAGTCATGGGAAGTCCATACGGCTGTGCGGAGAATAATATTCTTCATACACACCATCACTCACTCCCGCACACACACGTCCATGCTACAGCAGCACACCTTGGGCATGTGCATGTGGAATGGAAAACAAATTGAGCAATAAAAAAGCACCTCAAGCCAGCAAAGACAAGTTCTCCATCCCAGAGCAGCAGTCACTCACTTCCTATAGAACATCGTTTTTCAATCCCTGTCCTCACACCCCACTTCAATCTGCATATTGTGCATGTCTCCTTGATTTAACACAGCTAATTCGGATATCCAGTATGTTAGAAGAGATCCATGTGTGTTCTGACTGAAGAGATCCCAAGCCGCAGAGCCTTCCAAACCCTGCTCAGATGTTTCAAAACACCCAGGTCATGTGATTAAAGCGATTCAAAGGATTGACCTGGCAAATCTGTGTTTCAGTGATGGGGTCTGAAGCAAAACCACCATCTCCTGTAACTTAGTGCAGTGTTTCCCAACCCTGTTGCTGAAGGCACACCAGCAGTACACATTTTCCAACCTCTTCCTAATCAAACACACCTGAATCAACTCATCTGAATGTAAGAGACTCCAAAAGCTGAAGTTAATGGGTCAGATAAGAGATACATCCAAAACATGTCTTGTTGGTGTGCCTCCAGGAACAGGGTTGGGAAACAGTTGTTAAGAGGACTGTGTATGCGTGTATAATGCACCTGTGCTGTGAGTGACCTGAGTTTGAATCCCAGTTGTACAAGCATTCAGAAATCGTGACTTATTGTCTTGTATTCATGTAGACTTTTTATGACCAAAACAACACATATTTATTTGCAGAGTTCATTCGGATTGAGTTCATCCAGACTGATGTTAAAACAAAACACACAAGAACGGAGCAATAAAATAACAAACTTTTAATTACCATGATTGCTTTATCTAGATTCGAACCCAATACGTCTGCACGCCAGTTAAGAACACTAACCACTCCACTAAATTTATTGGTGTCTTGTTGAAACAACAGGGGCTTTAATTGCTTAATTCGCATAACTGTTTCTTTGTTGAAATTGTTTGAGCAATATTCTTTTTAAAATACCACTAGGTGTCACTGTAGAGTCGGTTTCGAAGCCTCGACACATTTTCTTCGACTATTTATGTGTTTCACGATGCGTCGCTCTGCCTACCACTAGTTTAGTGTTGTCAAAAGTACCGAACTCGATATATTGAAGTTGTTTAGGGGCAATAAAAAAAGACCCCTAGATGTCATTGTCGAGTTGGGTTTTGAAACATTTTGAAGCCTTGACACATTTGCTTTGATTGTTTCAGTGGTTCATGAAGCCTTACTCTACTCTAGAGTAGTGCTGGACAGTGTTGTCAGAAGTACCTACATGGCTTTGAAACGTTCAAGTGTCCGTTTATCTATATTGAAACTCTGACCAGCGATGAGGAGTTGTGAACCGATGAGCTTCAAAGCCAATCACAGTCATTTCTGTTGAGCAGGTAAACTCAATGTCCAATCAGTGGTGTTTAAGAACTTGCTCAACAGTGCTTAATTGTTTGGGGGAAATTGACTTTTTAAAAAACATTTCAGTACCGAAATCAATATAGTAAAGTTGTTTAAGGGCAATACTTCAAAAAAATTAACACAATTTCACTATAGAGTCAGGTTTTGAAACAATTCAAAGCCTCAACACATTTGCTTTGACTTTCAGTGTTTCACAATGCGGCGCTTGGCCTACCACTGGTTTAGTGTTGTCAAATTACTGAATATTTCAGTACCAAAATCATTATATTAAAGTTGGTTGAAGTTGTTTAAGGTCAATACATAAAAAATGACCACTAGATGTCATTGTAGTCGGGTTTTGAAACGATTCGAAGCCTCAACACTACCTTCGAAGCTGTTCCAGTGTCCATGTATGTTTGCACTTGGTGACCAGCAATGAAGAGTGGTAAACAGATTACCTTCACGGCCAATCACAGTCATTCTGTTGAGCATATAAACACAATAGCCAATTAGCGGCATCTAAGAACTTGCTCAACATTGTTGAAATGTTTGCGTTTAAAAAAAATGTCAGTACCGAAATCAAAACTTTTGATAACATTACTGTAGAGTTTGAGCTTGCTGAAAGTCTATCGTATGGTACTATAAAAACAGGCTGGATAAAACAAGATGATTAGACATTGATAAAGCGAGTGATTGCTCCATATATAACATTTCTGTACAGAAAGGTCACGTTTTGAACTTCTATTGGTCTCATACAATCAAGTGATGCAATTTCGCAGGTTGGGAATACAGTGACAAGCGAAACTTGTCGCACAAGCTTGTGTTTCAGATCTACAGCATTTGCATGAATATGAATCCAAGTCTTTTAAAGAATGTAATGTAAAAATCTTAAGAAATTTTAAGTATCCCTGAAGAATTTTATTTATTTATTTTTTAGACATGATTTGTGACGTGATTTTTGATCGGTTTTATGGTTACAATGTTTCTGACTTGTCCTAATTTTTATATATATAATTTTTATCTTCTGCATTACTCTTTATTTTCTGCTATCGTTGTATTTTTAAGTGTAAAGTGCTTTGAGAATTAAGTTTTAAAGACGAAAAAAAAAAAAATTCAGTCTATGGGGCAAAAAGTGCAGTGTGAACGTGGCTTGAGATCCCTAAGCAGTGTGCACTGTTCTCTAGTCCTTTCTCCATTATACTCTCCCAACGCTTAAGCAACCTTTATTTCACTTCAGAATGCTCATTCACAGATTCACACTGCAGCGCTATACTCGAGAAGAGCTATTATATTTCCATAAATAAATCCAATATAAATTCCGATCTCACACGCTCAAATGCAATACGAAAGAAACATTTACATGCTCCCTGAAATTATGGCTGAACATCCTGCGGAGTCCACTTTACAGGGCACTTGTTGTTGAATTAGAATACAGGTCCGACGTTAAATGAAATGGGCAGAGCTGAGGAGTGTGACTACTGGGATTGTAAAACGTAGCTATAGGAAGAAGTTTCTGTTGTTATGGTGTTACAAAAATGGCAGCATCCTGTTTATACATGGAATTTGATTGGTCCTTCATTTGTGGGCGTGGTCTTCAGGGTGTTGAGGTAGTGGGTGTGGTCCAGTTCCCGTCATCATGGAGACGGATCTGTCCTTGGACGTCTGGATAAATGATCTCCTCCACCGTCACGTAAGTTCCCGTGAGGAAGCCGATGAAGCCGAGAGCGGCGATGGAGATGTCTTTGAGGAGCAGCATTGGTGGAGGAGGCTGACTGGGAAACGCTATCAGCTCCACCAGAGGAGGGAAAACCAGCGCTAATGCTGAGCTGCTCACTGCACCCACCAGAGAGATCACCAGGTCCAACCGCGGGATCAACACTGCTGTTACACCTGCCGGAGGAATAGAGAGATGACGTCAGTTCTGGAGAAAGTAGAGGAAAGTGGTTGTGAAAGTCAATGCTGTGACATAATAGGGTCTAATGATAGGGTCTGGGTGATTGCCAAGGTGTTGCTAGGGTAGATCTAGCATAGTTTTAAGTTAAGTGTTCTGCTGTTTTGATAAATTTCACCCAATAAATGATCACCCTTGAAGGGGTGTTCATAAGACTGTTATAATCATGACGAGTCAAGAATATGAATGAGATTTTAAAAAGCGAGTGGTGTTGGTGAAAGTCAGTGCTGTGCGTGACATGACTGGTCTGGGTGGCTGCCGAGGAGTTGCTTTGGCAAGTTGAGAGTGTTCTGCTTTGTTAAACTTCAGCCAAAAAATACTTCATGACTCTTCTAAAACTCTTCTCTCTTATAATCACGGCATGTCACGAATATGAATGAGATTTAAAAGATATATGAGTAGTGTTTGTGAGAGTCAATCCTGTGACATGACTGGTCGTAAATGTGTTGCTAGGGTTGCTTTGGCATTGATTTAAGTGTTCTGTGGTTTTGTAAAATTTCATTAAAAAATGTCCTTCACTTGTTCGGAACCTAATTGAGTGTCTATAGTTGAAAACAAAGAAGATATCTGATTATGATATAATACTAATATATATATACAATGACCGGCCACTTTATTAGGTACACCTGTCCAACTGCTTGTTAAAGAAATTTTCTAATCAGCCAATCACATGGCAGCAACTCAATGCATTTTAGGCATGTAGACATGGTCAAGATGATCTGCTGCAGTTTAAAGCGAGCATCAGAATGGGGGATAAAGGGGGGATTAAAGAGACTTTGAACGTGGCATGGTTGTTGGTGCCAGACTGGTTGGTCTGAGTATTTCAGAAACTGCTGATCTACTGGGATTTTCACACACAACCATCTCTAGGGTTTACAGAGAATGGTCAGAGAAAGAGAATATATCCAGTGAGCGGCAGTTCTGTGGGTGCAAATGCCTTGTTGAAGCAAGCCAGAGGTCAGAGGAGAATGGCCAGACTGGTTCCAGCAGATAGAAAGGCAACAGTAACTCAAATAACCACTCGTTAGTCTCAATTTCTGCTGTGACGTTTAGAGAATAGGGTCAGAATTTGGCATCAACAACATGAAAGCATGGATCCATCCTTGTATCAATGGTTCAGACTGGTGGTGTAATGGTGTGGGGGATATTTGGATATTTTTCTTGGCACACTTTGGGCCCATTAGTACCAATTGAGCATCGTGTCAACACCACAGCCTAACCGAGTATTGTTGCTGACCATGTACCCATCTTCTGATGGATACTTCCAGCAGGATAACACGCCATGTCATAAAGCGCGAATCATCTCAGACTGGTTTCTTGAACATGACAATGAGTTCAGTCTTAAAATGACCTCCATAGTCACCAGATCTCAATCCACTAGAGCACCTTTGGGATGTGGTGGAATAGGACATTAGCATCATGGATGTGCAGCCGACAAATCTGCACGGTACTAGTAAGGTGTACCTAATAAAGTGGCCGGTGAGTGTATATATTTTGAAGAATGCTGGTAGCTGGCAAACCTTTACTTCCATGACATGTGAAAGTCAGTGAGAGCCTGCAAGCAGCATTTTTCAAAATATCTGCTTGTGTGTTCAACAGTAGAAAGAAACTCAAAGGTTTGAATCACTGAGAAGGGAGAGTAAAAGATGAGGCAATTTTCATTTTGACCCATCTTTATAAAATTGATAAAAAAAATTTGAAATTATAAAAATTGTCAAATAAAAAATGTAAAAGAAAAATCCATTTTGCTACTAAATGATATAATTTATAATTGTTTCAATTTATTAAAGTGAAAAACAATAAAAAAAAAATGTAAAGAATGTGTCCCTTAAAATGATTGCTAAATTAATATTTTATAGTAAAATAATTAAAAATTAAAAACATTACAAGGTAAAAATGACCTGCTAATGTCCTGACAAAGTTACCAGTACATTTTCTGTATGTGTCATGATAAAACCAGTCATAAAGGTACTTTTGTTTTTAAATGTATACATTAAGATTTATACTTCAAGATCCTACGGGCCAGCAACTGTTTAAAAATGTAGAGTCTGAAGGTTAAAATAAACAAAAATTAATCAGGACCATTTATTAATGAAAGCTCATTGTTACATATTTTAATGATTTCCCATTTTTTTCAGTGTATATTTAAAAAATAAATGAATTTCTTTTGCAGAAACCATCTCAAACTGGCCAACTTCCATTTGAGTTCATCAAATAATATTTAACATGTTCATAACGAGAGCGTTTTCCTTCTGAAAATGTATTTAACTTGAGCCTATTCTAAATGTATACTTGTTGAAGTAAAATAAACTCCAGTAGTCAAACGCATTAAAGAAAGAAACATCAATGCAACTTTGATCTGGTAGTTAACAGCAGGACCCGTGTGTTAATGAATGCATTTATTATAGTGGATCTCATCTAAAGCTGATGTAATTCTGCTTGTTCACAGCAGGTGTTCATCACTTCACTCATTTATGCTCATTCACTGTCAAGAGGACTCTATTAGTCGTAAACTAGAAGGGAAAAAGGGCCAAAATTTGATCATAACTTCTTAGCATTAGATGTATGATACTTATTGAGGTTTTGGTAATATGAATTAATATGAGTTTTGAATATGAATGAGATTTTAAGCATGTTTATGACAACTAATTAAGTGTCAGTCACTCATTTCTGTCACTTTAAATGTATAAAGCTGACACTATGTTTACATGGACATCAGTAATCAAATTATTTGTTTTAATCTGAACAAGGCAATAATATGATTAAGGTGTTTATATGAGTTGCTTTTTAAAAATTATTTTTTTGATCCCATTTTACCTGTTATAGGAAATAATTCAGGTAACGCCATTGCGTCACCACACTATCCACACTTCCTCTGGAGATTCATGTCATTTTGGGTGTTTCATTTTTAATGACTTTAACTGCGGTTGGGCACCTTCACTTTCATTCTAGACCATTTCATGCATACCGCCGTGACGTGATATTGGATGAGAGTACGAACTGCTGGAGGAGTGTTGTTTCTTGCACAAGCCAACACAACAGTAATAGTTGGATTGCGGTGTTTACATGTCTGTACTGCACTTCAATAATGTGATTTAACTTAACATGATCCAACATGTCTTAATCTGACTTTTGTTTAGTTTAATTATGAACTTAATCGGATTAAATGAATAAAAAAAATAATAATCAGAGTATTGTCTTAATCATGTTAGAATTGCATCATTGGTGTCCATGCACAGGGTTCATACGGTCATGGAAAACCTGGAAAAGTCATGGAATTTTGACGCAAGATTTGGTAAATTCATGGTAAATAAATATCTGTATACTTGAATATAGGTTATTTACTTCTTTTCTGTTCTTGGTCAAATCACATACTCTCACATTATTAGTGTGGTGTAAGCATTATGTAAATCAATTTTATTCATTCATTCCTTCATTTTCTTGTTGGTTTAGTCCTTAATAATCCGGGGTCGCCACAGCGGAATGAACCGCCAACTTATCCAGCATGTTTTTACGCAGCAGATGTCCTTCCAGCCGCAACCCATCTCAGGGAAACATCCACACACACTCATTCACACACACATACACTATGGACAATTTGGCCTACCCAATTCACCTGCAGCATGTCTTTGGACTGTGGGGGAAACCGGAGCATCAAAGGAAACCCACGGGAACACACGGAGAACATGCAAACTCCACACAGAAATGCCAACTGAGCTGAGGCTCGAACCAGCGACCCAGCGATCTTCTTGCTGTTAGGCGACAGCACTACCTACTGCACCACTTCGTCACTAAATCAATGTTACTTGGATATAAATTGAAACCAAATAGATTGGTTTTACAATATTCTGTAATAAATTCAATCATGCATTGTTTTTCTTTTACAACGCAAATGTAGACATTGCATGAAACATTAGGCCATGAAAATTTACTTGAAAGTCTTGGAAAAATCAAGGAAAAGTTATGGAATTTTAGTGGTAAAAATGTGTATAATGTCTTTGTCATGACAACATAACTTGTCATAAACCTGTCATAAACATTATTATCATAAGGCTATTATAAATGAGTTCATCAACTTTTTTTTTTTTTTCATCAAAATTTCAGTGTCAAGACTTTGTCAAATAAGCTTTTGACAATCATCGCCACTTTAGTTGAGGTCAAGAAAAACAAATGACACTGGCTATGTTTCCATCCACCTATTTTTATGCGCATTTTGGATATGCACATAAAAAAGTTAATGGAAACACCAAGATGCGCATAAGTTTTGAAAATCCACATAAAAAACGAGTGTGCATAACTGACTAGGATAAACTTTTAGATGCGCATAAACTATGAAAACACTTTTACCGAACAAATTCCAGTATGTGCATTGAAAAAGTCAAGTGATTTTGTTATAGGAGATCATGTGATGATAATAATCTGTGTGAATGCATTAACCAGCAGGCTGAGCACACTGTAAACCATCTGAAATTATGTTTTGGTCATTCTAAAACACCTTTACCGTTTCAACATTAGTGTTATTATGTTATTAATTACCTTCAGAATCCAGAGCGTCTGTGCTCCGCGTCTCGCGCTTTTAAAAACCACGAGTTCATTGCGTGTCTGCATTGTCTTCTGAGGTGTAAGTCATTTATTAAATAAAGAAAAGATTCACGCAGGTTCTCCTACCACTGCAAATTCTGGTTTTACTGTTTATATACTGTATGCCACCAGTTAATCAGGAAGTGATGATTTTGTTATCTTTGACTCGTTGGATGGAAATGCTGCTTTATTCGTAAGTCTTATATGCGATATTTTTGCGCATAAATTTAATTGGCGTTTTTGGATGGAAACATAGCTACTGTTATAAAAGTCATGACGCAATTACACCCCATTCACACAAGGCATCACTTTGAATGAGTGACGTCAAGCGTTGCCGAACTAAATTGAGGTGTTGCTT